CTGTTATATGAGACGTGCTTTGTTTACCAAAAAAGTGGATCTAACTAGATTTGCATTGTAAACATTACATAATTTTTTTAATTATAGTTTATTGATATAATCTATTAAGTTTTAGTTACGATACACCTAAAATCATTTCACATAAATCTGCACATTTTTTATTTAAATATAAGTAGTTTATGATATACAATATTAACAAGCAGCAGACAAATGTTTTTGAGTGTACTGTAATTAATGACTGTTATTCTGTATATTTTCAATGTTATATGTAGCTAATTTAGTCATTTCTGTTTTCCTTTTGTACAGAAAGGATTCGCAAGACGAGATTTCACTGATGGGATTATCTAAACTGAAGTCTGTGGGATTTTACATGCTTTTACCACCAAAGGAAATGATCAATCTACTTCTGTGAAACACACACACATACATACACATTGTTCAGCACTAAATCTTACTATAAAATAAATTTTGGTCTGCAGAATCCTTGAGTATTACAACATCTCAGATATATACTGCACTTAGTCTAACAGACTGGCTGAGATGCTGCGTATGCTGTGTGTGTGTGTGTGTTAATAGAAGTCTGTTTGAGAGAAAGCAGCATATAGACATGACACATTAACACACGAGTTCCTTTACATTCTACAGCAACGCATTAAAGACTAATTCATTTGCGTCAGTCCTGCTTCTTTTACGTAGATTTAAAGTCTGTCTGTTTTACCCGAAATATATAAAAATATTTGTGCACAGATTCACAGTTCGCAGGCTAGAATCGAGATGTTTAGAGGAAGAGAGGCTAAAGTGGATTGTGAACTGAGATGTAGCTGTGAACTAATGAAATGTATTTGCTGGTTTTTGCAATAAATATTTGCAGTTTCTGCTTTTCATTCAGCACTGCTGTGGGTTCGTGATTGTTACAGTTCTTTTTGCTATAGCATTTAAAACCGATCAAATGACATCACATTTAAGCCTTACTGTAAAAAGTGCAGTTATAACACACTCATTGTCTTTCAAAATGAAGTGTTTGCACATTTGAATGTTCATTTTCCAAAGCACTGTATAACAAAGCAGTTTCCCAGCCATGTTGTGTACTACTTGGCAAGGCAAGTTTATTTAAATAGCACATTTCACACACAATGGCAATTCCGAGTGCTTCACATAAACAAGAATAAAATAAACATCAAATAAAACAAGTGAAAAGAAAAATAAAGAATACAAATGATTTAAAATGTTAAAACAAGCTTAGCAGGAATAAAAAAAGAATTGAAAGAAAGACACAAATAGAGGTCTGTCATGATTTAATGAGGTGATTAAATAACCACCAATATTTTAAAATACTATTAATATTAAAAATAGAAAATAAGGTGCCTCTGTCAAGTTTAACACACAAATTTAATTATTAGCATATATATCAATTCTGTGTTCATGTACAGTTTCAATACTAATTAGAACTCAATCAACCAACTTTCTGTTATTAAAAAAAACGACAAACATTTCGTCACAAGATGTAAGATGAGCCTCAAAATACCCATCAGATAATTTATTACAGCCTCCAGAATCTGCCCATTTTTGTGTCTGAATACATCGCAGCTGTTTTTGTAGCTTGTGGCTTTAAATGCAAATGAGCTGCTTCTCGCTGCCCACCAGTTCCTAATGCGTGTCTGCTTCTCATGCGTTTTGTCAGATAAACAGCAGTCAGTGACAGAGACAGACACGGATGAAGCTGAAATACAGATCACTAGTCAAAAATACCATGTAAGTTTATTTGATGTACTTGTGGTGGAGTTTATTCAAGCCTTTCTGAAATTATGTTTCACACAAATGCTTTTTGCAGTACACACACATTACTGTTTACTGACACCATGCGGCCATGGTGATTATAGCGGTTAAGAATAACAGAGATTTTACTGTCTTTTTTTAAAAACATGCTCTGTTTTAAAACATAAAACTCATAAAACATAAAAAACAGAGGGCTGTTACATGTTTAAATTTCAATGTGTTTACAAAACAATGTTCTGGTTTACATGTTATTATAGAAACATGGCCTCTGTTGATCAATTCGTTGGGCGGGGAAAACCGGCGGGCCTTAATCACACAAATTTTGGTCTTGTTTTAACGTCAGGAAATTTTTAAAGGTAGACTTATTGTGTTTCTATTACTCTAATATGGCTGTGGACACATTATACTTTACATACAGTCCTGTCCAAACAGCTTACACAAGTTGTTTTCATCATAGGTGTCCTTCAAATATATATATATATATATATATATATATATATATATATATATATATATATATATATATATATATATATATATATATATATATATATTGTACATCTTTCTGATGTACACTACTAAAATATTACTGTATATAGAACATATTAACAATTAACATAGCACAAATATGCTTATAGCTTTTTCTGTCAGCATGTAAGTGCACATGTATACATGTGTAATTGTAGGTGTATATTTGGAATACAACTTAAAACAATATTAATAATAAAAATACCATTAATTATGTATTTTTTCTTTTGCATCACGGTTTAATCCATAAACACACTCAAGTATATGTATCTTTATGATTTTAATGGTAATTCTGAGTAAAGAAATGAATGAACTGGTCCAAAAAGGGATCTCCTTTTTTGATAGGCTTTCTAAGGCTAATGGCAGATAGAGTGGAATGCATTATAGGTCAATGTCCAGTTGTTGTGGCCTTTAGATGAGTGCACATCCTGATCAACCACTGCTATCTCTTTAATTCAGAAACAAATCTGTTAAAAAAGAGAGCTTGTTTTTAAAATATCTTCTTTCAACTCCGTAAATATGAAGGACAAAGATGATCTCCTCAAAGATAGAAGCCAAATCCAAAACTGTTTGTCCACCAGAGAGAGAAAATGGTAATTAAAATGGAAGATTAAGACCTTTCATGTTTCTAAATTACAAAGGCACGCCACATTTTGTGCATATCTGGTTTGAGCGGTATGAGTCAAGAATGTTTGGCTGAATGGAAAAGCCACAGAAATATGCAGATGTGACATTACTCAGTTCCCCATGTGGGACCCAGCAATGCTTAGAGGAAATGCTTTAAAAATAAAAAAGTTGGTTTCATATTAAAAAAAAAATTTCTTCACAAAAAAAGCTTCCTCATTTAAACGTTCAACAATCTATGGACTGTTATTAGAAGACGCTTATAAACAGGAAGATAAAACAATTCAGCTGGTCTCCATTGGATTGAGAATGACTTCAGCAGATGTTATTGTGATTTAGTTTTAATTATAAGACATGTATAAAGAAGGAAGGAAGCTAACCTAAGCTTATCTTAAGCAGATGTGTACAGTTTGGTATGATTTGCTCATCCCCCAATGACTTGGGAGTGGGGTTTGGTGCCACACCTCCTTTTAAAAATACATATTCAAAAGACTGAACTTGTGTGAATTTGTATGACTTAGCCACTAAACTAACAAAACGTCAAATAGTTCATTTAATAGGCTGCTTATTTTCAAACATTGATATATTTTCACGTTAATCTAATCCTTGGCATTTGATAAAGTGTTCTGATTCTGGTCAAACTTTATTTTAATGGTCCGTTTGTTGAATTAAGTTATTAAAAAAAATAAAATTATAAGTAGACTGTTAGGTTGGGGTTGGGTTAGTGTAAGTTAACATGTACTTGCAAAGTTTCTTATAGTCAGTTAAATGTCTGTTGAAGGAGCGGTACTAACAAATTAAGCAGACAGTCTGCTAATACTCAAACAGACAATCAAAATAAAGTGTTACCCTGATTCTCTATAGGCATGTTGTTTATTATTGCTTTACAATGAGGCTTATTTTTTCTACATTAAAGTAAACCGGTGATTAAAACTACTACATCTTAGGTGATGTTAATTTCTTACATAATTATTAATAACTCATTAAACTCACCAAAATCTTGACTATTTAATAAGTTAATAACTTATTTTTAGACTTTAGACATTATTTTTTAAACATTATTGTAAAGTGTTAGCTATTTTACTTGATGATGTAGAGTAATTATTGGTTATATACAGGTTAATATCATTAATATACCAGATATTTTGATGAAAGCAAGCTATCTGTCTTAAGACAACATGAAGAAATTAAGTTAACTTAGTAGTGTTTACAAATTTAAGTAAATTGATCATAAAACTATTAAAGTGGCCCCAAAAAAGCTCAAAAATTAAGTTGTTTCAGCTCATTTTATATGTATAAGTAGTATTTATATTTAAGTAGTTTTAACCAGCAGCAAACATCATTTTTTGTGTACTGTGATAAATGACTGTTATTTTGTATATATGCAATGTTATATGTATCTAATTCATTAGTTTCTCTTACCAAGCAAGCTAACTTAAGCTTATCTTAAGCAGATAATAGAATAAAACAAAACGCATCATCCAAAAGGAATCTCCTTGGGAAAAAGAAATGTTCATGCATGTCTGAAGCGGTGAACGCTGACACCTTATGGAGGAAAAGAGGGTTGACAGCTTTATTTCGACTTCACCTTCAACATTTATTACACCCCATTACTTCATTGTGGTGAACACAATTATTTTACTGTACATAAAGATGACGATATCAAAACTACTGTATAAAAATGATACATATATTCTTTTTCAAATATTTCCCCAAGTAATTTTTTAAAGGAGAGATTTGAACCCTTTTCTATAATAGTTTCAATAGAGCGTCATGGTGGCGCAGTGGGTAGCACAATTGCATTACAGCAAGAAGGTTGCTGGTTCAAGCCTCAGCTGGGTCAGTGAGTTTGCATGTTCTCCCCGTGTTTGCGTGGGTTTTCCTCCTGGTGCTCCGGTATAGGTGAATTGGGTAGGCTAAAATTGATAGTAGTGTATGTGTGAGTACATGCAGTCATGCGTTGCAGCTGAAAGGATATACACTGCGTGAATAAAACATATGCTTGAAAAGTTGGAGGTTCATTCCGCTGTGGCAGCCCAGGATCAATAAAGAGAATAAGCCGAAAAGAAAAATGAATGAAAGAATGGTTTTAATAAGCAAGTTCTAATAACTAATTCCTTTCGTCTTTGCCATGATGACAGTACATACAAGTTACAAAGCATTTCTGGAAGATATTAGTATTCACCTTAAAGTGCAATGTAAAGGCTTAACTAGGTTAATTATACTAGGCGAGTTTGTTTAATTAGGCAAGCTATTGGACAAAAAGTAGTTCAGAAACCAATCCAAAAAACTATTCTCAAGGGGGCTTATAATATTGACCGTAAACAAAAATAAAAACTACTTTAATTTCAGCCAAACTAAAAGAAATAAGACTTACTAAAGAAGAGTTTAAAAAAATATTAGCACTGTAACACTGTAAACAATGCCCTTGTGTGGATAAACATTACTTGGCAAATATTAGAAAAAGAAATGCAATGTTCACAGGAGGACTAATAATTTGGTCTACAACTGTATATGATGAAAAAGTGGTTTAAAAACGCCATCGTAGAGCAGAAACACACACACTGGCATCACTTCCCAAGTGTTTTTTCTTTGTTACATTCAAGTCTTTAGATTCAAACTTGATTTTCACTGTAAAGCCAAGTATTGCTGGAAGCCTTCTCCAACTTTAAGAAAAAGTAAACAATGAAATATTTAAATATATAAATCATATGGCAAACATGTTTCATTAAAACATTAAGCAACAACAATAATAAATTCTTTGTCTTAGGAAAACACTAACTGCATAAAAAAAATTTGCCGTCCGACTTTGCATTTTCACAGTTTTTGTAATTCCTCAGAAATAGATTAGTTCATAAATCACAGCCAAAAGTGCACAGTGTGTCCTCTGAAGCTGAACAATATTCATGCACCTGAGGTCAAACTGTAAACTGCATCGAGAGAAAAGCTCCAGTAAGATTGTCCCAGCTGTCTCTGAAGGCAGTGAAGTGAAGGGAAAGTCCCACACACTGATGCAGATGAGATCATGATCTCAGGTAAACACACAAATCTTCCTTGTGTCAAGTGTCTCTTGCTGAACACGGAAGTCAGAAAGTCGTCAAATCAAAGTTATTAAATCTCTGGTTGTACCTTCATTGTTCACACCACAGTGGATGTGGTGTCGTATAATGTACTCGCTTCCCTGTTAGAGACGGAGATACAAGAGAAGTTAATTAGACGGAGAGGGTTTGCTAAAGGAACAGTTCACACACACACACAAAAATTGACAACTCACCGTGGTGTATATAATTATAATGTTTTAAGTAAATTAAATAAATAAATCAGACAAACACTCCTTTTTGAACTTGTTCATATATTGGCTATCGCTGTGATGGGTTTGTTTTGTTTTTTCAGCCTAATGATGGCTTGCTTGACTGATAGTGACAGCTCTTTGGATCTCATCTTGAGAGCTGACAGTTTCAAATGCAAAACAGCACACTTGAAATGAACTCTTTTATCTGCTCATTGTAATTGAGATAATGAGGGAATAACACACACCTGGCCAAGGAACAGCTGAGAAGCCAATTGTCCAATTCCTTTTGGACCCTTAACAAGTGGGAGGCACATTTGTAAACTGTTTTAATTCCTAGTGTTAACCTGATTAAGATGTAAATACCCTCAATTAAAGCTAACAGTCTGCAGTTAAAGCACATCTAGTTTGTTTCATTTCAAATAATCCTGAGAATGTTGTTTATTATATGGATTATGATTATTATTAATCAGTTTATAACAACAAGTCAACACTGTAAGAGTATACAAATGGTACATCAACAGACCCAGACTGAATAAAACTAAAACTGAAAAAAAATAAATAAATAAATAAAACTGAGCAATTGTAAAAAAGCTTTTTGATTGTAGTTGTTGCTGAACTGTGATCAATCGGATAACTCATTCTTCCACAGAAAGACATGCGCTTATGATTAAAACATTATTTCATATGATTTAAAAAGCTATTATATGATGACAAAAAGCCCTGTTTTATCCAAAAATATTGCTGTAGAGGTGCACAATACATAAAAAAGAATAAACTCGGAGATGTCTATTTATTTGAATATATCTGATTATCATTATACATTTAGTCTAATTTCTTCGTTTTATTAGATGCTGTACTGCACTAATTTTAGCCATTTATTAAGCTAACTTTTGTTCTTTTACTTTGTGAAAAAAACATTAAAAAAAAATAAATATTAGGAAAGTTATATGCAAGTTATTCAAAATGAACCTCCGCTAAAATGTTCTGGAAACAAACCCTGGCCTGAGCACTTGAAATATACAGCATGTATTGCATGGGGCCATTCTATATAGATGACTTGTGCCTTTATTTAATTTTTTTTTATTTTATTGCTAATTGATATTCACAATAATTGATATTATTGAAGGGTACAAAAATGAAAGAACACAAGAGTGAATAAATGTTTTGTAAACCATTTTTCAGTGCATTGTCCATTTAAGGATTAGAATTAGAAAAACTACTTACATGAGTTCCTTTTTCAGTCTTCTTAGTTTGTCATCTAGCCTGTGGTTTTTCACTCTGTTAGGATTGTCAGGTATGAACCAGGCTGCGATAAATTTGCATATTACCACCACATGCTGAGTCGGAAAAACAAACACAAAAAAAATCAGATGATATTCAACAAAACATGTAACACACACACACACACACACACACACACACACACACACACACACACACACACACACACACACACACACACACATATATATATATATACATATACACGTGTGTGTATGTATATACACATATACATACATATATACATATATATATATATATATATATATATATATATATATATATATATATATATATATATATATACACACACACACACACACACTGCAGTGAGAGAGAGAGAGAGAGAGAGCGAGAGAGAGAGAGAGAGAGAGAGAGAGAGAGAGAGAGAGAGAGTGAGAGAGAGAGAGAGAGAGAGAGAGAGAGAAAAGATACATAGCTCTTATTTTGTACCTCAAACAGAATAACAAAGGCAAAGCGGAGTGCCAGAATGAACCAAAACTGCGAGGTGAGACTCTGGTCTTCATTACTGCGGTAGTCTTTGTAACTGTACAACACATATTCAGATCATCAACCAATCAAATTCATCTGTACTATATTAAAAAAGATGCATTCTATATTTGTTTTTAGAATAAAAGTTGTTACCTGCATTGTGTAACATTATGTCCACCCTCTGTGATCAATTCCTGAAAGTCCTTTTTCACATTCATATTGGACATGAATGCTGTTGCCAGAGTGTTGTTGATATAACCCGTCATACAGCTACCAGACAAAACAAATCCATTAGTTACATCATTAATCTAACATCATCTATGCTTAAAAAGAAATCAACTTTTAGATTTGACATTTAATCAGTATTTTAGTTAAGATAAATACAGCTTATGTGAGAAATTCCATGTAAAAGTCCGTTATTTTACGTTTTTTTCCGACACTCCAGCAGTAAAAATCGTAAAATTACTTTTTTTAACTGTGTGGTAAAAACAGATTTGCCAGTTTGAGACCTCTGCCTTAATGTAATGTTAACGTATACTTTCTATATGAATTTATGCTTTGAGATATTACTGCAAATGTCACATCCATAACGCTGGAATTGCTCACATGCTTTAATGGTTCGTTACTCTTTAGATACTTACTCCAGGCCACTGTTATTGTTGACAGCACAAGGTCCATAACGGTAACGATATGCCAGACGGGGTATGAAGTCAGAGGAAATCCCTATCACTAGCCCATTAGCAATGACAGCCATCACCCCGACAACCTCTAATATTTTATTCCAGACACCTGCCAGACAAAACACACAGCGGATGATGTATGATGTTTACACATTAGGTTTACTTCACGATGAACTACACAGAGTGCATGTACTGTAACAGCTACTTACCGATGTCATTTGTTTTTTTGGGCACAAGGCGACGCTCCAGGCTGACCATCTTGATGGCATCCAGTCTGATCTCAAATATGTTATTAATAAGAGCCAATAAAGGAGCCAGAGGGAACGCGGCCACAAAGATGGTGGTGAAACTAAACTGAAGAACTGACGACACACAAAAGAACAGCAGCTGATGTTAATGCAGGGCAACATTAAATAAACCAATCAGATGTCAAATGAACTCCTCAGACACAATATTACAAACACCGGTTCACCTGGTCATTAATGCAAATATCCACGTCACAACCCACATAGATAGTTGCAAGGCAGCAGCTTAATGCATTATGCATGTAGACATGTTCAAGATGTATTGATGTATACACCAAATTACTGAAGGCTTTGAAAATAGTTTTAATTATAAAATCTACAAAATTAGTGTGCTGAATCTTTAGTTACAGTTTTAATAGGTAGACTATATTCTTCCATTAACACATTTAAGCCCACCGGTACTTATAGTTGCCATGTTCTTTTAATAAGTACTTTTCTACATGTTACCCTAGTTCCAGGGTACAAAATTAAAGCAAACAATCCCAAATAAAGAAAATGTTCATGTTAATAAAAATAATTTCTTGTTCACAAATGTATACTAACATAATCATGAAGGTCTCTAGACTCAGATAAATAAAACAAATCTTTCAAAGCATCTATAGTTTTTTGTATACTTTGCCAAAAGTTCAAGTGGCAATTATAGTTTCATAATACTTCATCTAAACATAACCAATTTAACTGATATCTTTACTTTAAAGCAGCCTTTTTGATACACAATTTCACACACAGCAAAATCCTCAGAGTAAACTTTACTTCTCCCACTGGTCCCACTCTTACAAGTTAAATTAACACTGGAGCAGAGTTAAAGGTCTGAGTGGAAGAGAATAATGAACTCCTGCTGTTAAAAAGTAAAATCACTGAAGAAAAACACAACTACAACCAAACTCAGTCACAACCTTAGGCCCTGTTGTCCACTTTTGTCTAAATTTTTCTTTTTTTTCTACACAAAAATGTAGTATCAGGTCACTGAAACCTAAATTGTGCATTTACTCTAGTATTTGACTTTTTTTTTTTTTTTTTTTTGAAACACAGTAGTTTGTTCGGGAAGCTAGTGTGTGTTTAATCACTTTAAGACAAATGGATTAGTTCTTTGTGTTTTAATATTTATGGAATTATATGATAGATCATTTTGGGGGTTAATCTCAAATGGTTTTCTAATTTTAAACATATTAAATGCGTTTATGAATATCAATATGATGTTTTGAAAGCAGTTGTTTTGTGTTAGATTGCCAAATGTTCTCCTTCTATTCAAAATTTACATTAAAGGGTTTTTAAAACATATTTGCCCACCTGCAACTATATAGTTGTTGCATATTGAAATATGATTTTCTTGAAAAAAATCTGAAGTCTGGAAAAAATAAATGCAAAACATGTTCATATAGAAACCATTTGTAAAAAGTTGAGCACAAATGGGTTAAGACTTAATTTAGAGTCTAGAAGAGTGAGCAGAATGATAAAGATGATATATTTATATTTAGAAATAACATAGGTCTACAAGGAAAAGTATGAAGAACCATAAAATGAAAACTGTCCACATAGAAAATTAACATACAAGGCAGGGGTGTCAAACTAATTTCTACTGAGGGCCACTTCAGCATTTCTGGCTACTCTTAAAAGGCTGGTTATAACATCAAACATATAAGTGTTGCTACTCAATGAATTGTTAAATAACTATCACTTTTTCATCATAACATATTAAAGTAAAGGGCGTCACAGTGGCATAGTGGGTAGCACCATCGCCTCACAGCAATATTGCTGGTTTGAGCCCTGGCTGGGTTAGTTGGCATTTCTGTGTGTTTGCATGTTCCGGGTGAATAGGTAAATTGGGTAAGCTAAATTGACCGTAGTTTATGTGTGTGAATGCAAGAGTGTATGGGTGTTTTCCAGTGCTGTGTTGCTTCTGGAAGGGCATCCGCTGCATAAAACATATGCTGGATAAGTTGGCGGTTCATTCTGCTGTTGCAACCCCTGATTAATAAAGGGACTAAACGAAAAGAAAATGAGTAAATATAAAAGCAACAAATAAATTCTACTACTTTCATAAATGTAAAATATAAGTTACTTCACTGGGTAATTTAAACATGAAACTTTTTCATCAGGTTAAAAAAACACATTACTCCATCAAAGTAAACAACAAAGAGAAATATCATCAGACACAGGTCATTGTCTCTCCAAAACGGCCACTTTTGAAAGAAACTGAACTTTATGAATCAACTAAAGTGAAGTGTCCCAATAGTGTTTGATGAGGGTATAACAAAAATACATTTCTAGTAAACTATAAAGTTAGCACTATGAAGATGCACTATGTAATGACAAAGGAGATACATACCCATTTCCAAAAACTCATTAAACAAGGAGAAAGCATTGACATCACTCAGGTCGTAGTTTGTCATCCAATCACGAAGCTTGCAGAGGTCACATTGCTCAATGTTTCCATCCTTTTCTCGACATGCCTTTCGGTAACAGTTACCGCACTTCCTGCTTTTTTTCTTAGTTTTTGAGCGCTTAAAAAGCATCTTTAACCAGCTACAGAGAAACCACAGAAGAAGATTTTAAGTGAGAAACCCAAGTAGAACGGGTAACATTTTTATTTTAATATTTTTATCTGGTAAAATATAAAGTTGAACAGTAAAAACTGAATGTTTAAGGTTTTAGTGCAATTTTTGACAACACTTACGGCACTGTGAACTCAAATATGTTGTTTATAGTTTGTTTGAGCACTAGAATAACAGCCATCTGGATGAAGAGATCTGTAAGGCATCCGCTTGGATGACACTAAATCAGAGAGAGAGAGAGAGAAAAAAAGATTTGATTCACACTTTGGCTACAAACATCTGTTAAATGCATGTAAACATCCAACTGCAAAAAAAAAAAAAAAAGGAATTGTAAGGGTTTAGGCACAAACATATGACAAAATATTTCAGTGTTTAATAGGTTTCTGGCTTGCAAGATATTTGGCTAAAATTAATTCAACACTAACACAGTGTCCTAACCCCACGCAACGTGCGACTAAAGGGTATCTTTTCCATGTTAAAAGCAACATAGAGTACTTTTTTTTTAATTGAACAGATTTGTGTTGAGCATCTGTTATGACAAATTGTGGCAAAAAACTGGATAATTTTTAGCTTTTGTCAGCCAATTTCATCTTCCATCTTTCTTTTCTTATCCTATGAGAAAACCCTGCTTCTTAATTACTTATGAGAGCACGTGCTTTCCAAAAGCAAGGCAGATCTGCCAAACTGTGACCCAAAGACTGGGTGATACTCTGTCTGCACTGCACGGGTTGTATATGTTTGTTTTAATAATCCACAGGGTTTATTACATGTTTTTCCCTGCGATTCTGTCAGGGCCGATACAGCAAAGTTGTTGGTTTACAGCAATTTTTGTCAGAAGAGCTGTACAAGAATTGGAGCAACTTTTATCAGTTGAGTGTGTTACCATTCAGACACATAGCCTATATCCGTGCTGCTGTGTTCATCTATGTTTAAAATCTTCCAGATTACCGACAGGGCTAATGGTTGAAATAGACAAGGAAGGAGACCTGCTGCACTGCTATCCACCGTGTCTGCATTCAGACCCAGGGATTGATGAGGAGAGAAGTCCTTCTCAATTATAGTGTTTATATTAAGACGATTATTTTTATGATTATAGAACAAATTGTGGTTATGTGTATATGAAATTACAAGTAATAAATGTAGCAGGGCATTAAATTACTGTTTACTTCTTTGCATTTTTACTTTTAAAATCATAGGTCTCACAGTTTTGTGTCTCATATTGAGGGCCAACTGACAGTTGTTCGATCTATCTTTTTTCCCCCTGCTCTGTTGGCCACGCCCACTCCTCCCTCTGCTCGCAGAGCTCCACGCCAAAGCATTTTTAAAAAAGATTCTGAGGTAGACTTGAACCAAAAGAGGAAGTTACATGGCCCTTTAAAGAGAGTTTTAGTTCTAACCCTCTGCGATGCATGACATTTCGATTTTAGAAATGCTATTTTTAAAATTTCCATGATGTGGTAGTAGAACAACAGCATATACTACTATGACTAAGATCACCTCAGCTAGAGATTATGTGCTTCATTCAGTGTTAATTGCTCCCACTAAGAGTTTGAATACAATTTTAGGTGACATTTATTGCCATAATGAAAGCAGCAGCATTTAGTTTACCTCAGATCTCAGATCTGAGCAGACAGAACTAGCAGACAGTTTAAAATAGAAAGTCAGAACTGTGACTCAATGCAAAGCAACAATATAAGTCGCTCGGTAGACAGTTAATAATGTTAATATGTTTTAATTAGATGAAAAGCCTTTATCAATTTTTTTGGAAGTGCAGTGGCTGGTATTTAAATGTTTCAGTCATGTCGCATCGCTTTTGGTTGACAGCCAAATTGCTTGTTCCTGGAATCTTGATGCATCACGTGTTGTTATAGTAGGTGTAACTGATAAAATGTGTCTTTTTATTTCTTAAACATCCAATGCAGAAGACATTTACTACAGCTATATGTCAGGTTGGCAATGTCAAGATTCACCAGCCTCACTGTGAATGAAGGCTTTATTCTCACACAAGAATTTATGATCAATTGGCCTGAACACTATGGAGTGTCTTCAAATGTGCTGAAGTAGACTTTACACAGTGCATCTCCCAAGTGTCAGATAGTGATCTTGTTTAGCTGTAATTATGGTGTGTATTTGACAATGTACTTGGCATTGTTTTGACAACATTACACGATTTTAAGGCTTATATCCATCAAGAGTTACAATTATTTTTGGCCAAGATTTTGTATTCATAAAGTCAACTCAACCATGTGAGTTCCACTGTCTACTCCAGCATATAAAAAAAACTTGTAGAGGGGTTCAGCTCAACTGATTTCTGAATTCCTGCCTAAAATTGAAGCCATTATTCACAATCTGAACAAATGAATATGGGTTTGGGATTTGTCTTTTGACGTGGTTGTTTAAAAAATAAAAAAGCTAAGCAATGCATCAAAAATGTCTGTCAAACAAAATCCACAAACATAATCCACCAAATTGGCTGTATCACTGTATCCACCTAGAGCTGGTGTGTGGTGAGCGCACTGGTGCCATTGTCCTGTGGCTGCCATCGCATCATCCAAGTAAATGTTGCACACTGGTGGTGCTGTGGAGAGCCCCCCTCATGATTGTAAAGCGCTTTGGGTGTATGGCCATACACAATGAATGCATTATATAAATACACATTACTTACTTCCACATTAACTATTGCAGTTTAAATATAATAATAGACTGTTAGGTATTTGCAACTTTTAAAATAATAATAAATTGGTAAATAACGAATACCTCTTCTAGTCTCCATTCGCCTGCAATTCGAACATAGTTTCCAGGATAGCCATTGATCCTGAGAACAGCACAAAAAGACCCTTTGAACAGCCTGTTGTTAGAGTAAATGAATCAAAAAAAGCACACTCACACACAAAGACTTACCTTCCCAGAAAGAACGCCACATAAAACAGTGAGGAGAAGAGAGTGAAGAACTGAAATGAGAACATCTTCACTGTGAAGCTCCTCTCGGTGGCTGCAAAAGAGCGTGTCTCCTCTGCAATTGAGCAATAATGACATTTACCACATTACATTAGTACAATTTATTCAAGCAACTGATTTTAATTTTATACTTGATACCCACCAATCTCACACAGTTTTAAAGCCACGAATTTGTTGACCTAAGAAGACATCATTTGATTATTGTCTTACAGAAAAATGCCAATGTTCTTTAACAAGTTTTATTTGTATTAGGCAGTTTATCTGTTTGTACTTACCCGAGTCATAACCTGAATGGTAATGTAGTGCAGCACTGCGCCGAATAACATGGCTATTGTGGTGGCATGTTCACGAAGAAGGTGCCACTGGCTTTTTGAAAGCAATATTGAAGTTAAAACACGGAAGATCACCAGAGCTTGGGTCAGACCGATGATCACCACCAGCTGAAAACAATGATGGGGAATAATATTATGAATTTTGTCAGACCTTTCTAGAAAAAAAAACGAATAAATGCCGAGAAACTGAAGATTCAAGTGGTCTCTTTTGGTGTCTGTACTGGTTTTGCAATTGGTATATGCAGGCACAAATTTGTGTAATGACATGGGTATAAACTAGGTATTAAAATGCTGATGTGGTCAATGGGGACATGCCCTGTGTCCTCAGAATTTTAAACTGTTAAAAAAGTCATACCTAATGTTGTCTTTTCACTTTCAAAAATTGCCACAGGATTCTGGTGTTAGGGATAGGGTAAGCCAATGTAAAAAGAAGTTTTTAGAGTATAAAATAAATTACGCCAATAGAGAGTCCTCATAAACCAACAAAGTGTGTGTGTGTGTGTGTGTGTGTGTGTGTGTGTGTGTGTGTGTGTGTGTGTGTGTGTGCGTGCGTGCGTGTGTGCGTAAAAAGCATTTCTTACCACTAACGTGACCAAAAGAAGCACCAAGGTGCTGCGCAGGTAAGAATGTCTGTACTCTTTTGGCTTACACTGAGGGTCATTGACAATCTCCAAAATCAATTCTTCCTGTTGGCAGACGAAGTCATTCGGCTCAATCAGAAGATTCACATTAAACACAAAATAATAATGTAAAGAATGTATGATTCTACCTCATCATCGCACCAGTCAAACACATTCCACTTTGACACATACAGAGATCGATGTCTCTTCCACACCTCAAAAAACAGGGTTGCTAGTTAAACAACAAGACAGCACTTTAACATCAATGTTATTTATCACACAAGAAACAGTTTTGCTTAAGTTCAAGTGGAAAAACTCACCCCAAATTGCCATGAACATCGCAAAAGCCACGGTGCCTTCATTGTCAAATAGTTGGCTCACCTGTTTGTAAGGATTTACAGAGTTTATACAAATTTTAAGAACCCAACACACACATGCATATATTGGTAACACTTTACAATAAGGTTGTATAAGTTAATATTAGTTAATGCATTTACTAACATGAACAAACAACGAACAATACATTCATTTATTCATTTTCTTTTCGACTTAGTCCCTTTATTAATCCGGGGTTGCCACAGTGTCAACTTATTCAGCACATGTTTTTACGCAGCAGATGCCCTTCCAGCTGTAACCCATTTCTGGGAAACATCTATACACACTCATTCACACTCATACACTACAGACAATTTAGCCTACCCAATTCACCTGTACCATTTGTCTTTGGGGACAAAACCCACGCGAACGCAGGGAGAACTTGCAAACTCCACACAATAACACCAACTGACCCATGAACAATACAATCATTACAATATTTAGTCGTGTTAGTTAATGCTAGTAAGTGAAAATGTAGTTTTTGATTGTTAGTTCACGTTAACTCGGTCAGGGTTCTTGCACCATTTTAAAAGTAAAATTTAATGCTTTTTAAGACCTTTTTAAGACCTCAACAAATATAATTTAAGACCCAAAAATTATATAATTTCTTTGGAATAGGCTACTCATTTTAATGTTTTCGTTAGATTAAAATAAATTGTGGCTCGTCACAGTATGGATAACCCGCAGTACCTGCCTTTTGGGTGACTGGTAGTGAAATGAAACTGTTATAGCTGACTGTGAGGGGGCGTCTGAACTAGAGCTGTAATCAGGCTATGAAAGGTAGGCCCGATGGAGCCCGAACCCGATAGGTACATTTTGATTGACAGCTTTTAAAAGCCCAAACCCGTTTAAAGCCCGACATTATCCAAATGTGCACATGCACAGCTCTTTTGTCTTTTCTCATGAATAAATTGTTTATATGCGTTAACATTACTTATTCATAACATAGGCTACAGGCCAAGTTGGAACAAAAAAAATAAAATAAGCCCCCTGTAACATCTTAACATCTCAACTCTAAATAGGCCTGGGTACATACACTTAACGTTTAAATTGGCCAAAACACCAATAAAAATAAGTCTTTCTTAGCAAATGAATTAAAATAAATAATAAATGATGACGGTTATTTGGCAATAACGAAATTAAGATAAAGGCTCAGTGGGATTTGTTTTGCCACTTCACTTCACAATAAGGCGATGGTCAAGCTGAATAATAAAAGAATAATGCCAGCATTAGCCTGTATACTCTGCATACATTATGATTTTATTAAAATTTAGTTATAATTTGAAATTCTTTAGTCATCAAGATTAGGTTAGATTAGGGGAACATTATTGAATCCACAGTAAATGGCTTTAGCGCAGTGACTAGCTGTTGCAACGTCCAGCTGCTGCTTTCCTCCTTTCATGTGATACTCGATGAATTTGAGCCCCATGGGCCCTAACGAAAAGGTCTTTTTGCAGAATTTACACATTCCCTCTTTGCCACGTCGTAAAATTTACATTCTCCCATCTTTGCATTTTGAACCTCACATTAACAACCGCGTAATGACAGCACGCAGGTGCAGACCGGTTTAGCGTCTGTACTCTGTACCCGACCTACCGTAATAAGCTAATAAATCACAGAGACTGTAATTTCTCTCCTGTTTCAAATATTGAATTAATCAACTATTAGATGTTTTACGGTGAACCACTGTGCTTCCCTATCGTCATTAAGCAGACCGGCTGAAAATGTAATACCTACAGCCACTTTACGGTAAAATTTAAGACAATTTAAGACCTTAATTTCCTGGATTTTAATTTAAGACATTTTAAGACTTTTTAAGGACCTGCGGGAACCCTGTCGGTGCATTAACTAATGTTAACAAACTAAAATTTGGATGTTCATAATGCAATAATATATGTTGAACTATGATTAATAATGCTTTACTGTTCATAATTAGTTTAATTTAGTGAATGCATTAAGTAATGAAACCTTATTAAGTGTGACCCATATAATAACGTGCCATTCATTCCTTGTTTATTTTTAAAAAAAGACTCATTCCAAACTTTTGGGTAAGCAAGACTTTCTTTTGAAATAAATTATTAACGGTTATAAAACATTCCATTGATTATAAGTGTAGGTAAAGATATCTATAATTTTTACAAACTATTATATCTAAAATAACTGCTGTTCTTTTTCCATATCAAATGTGCATTCGTCCAAGTATCCACAAAATATATAGCAGGGGAGCTGTTCTAAACGGAGGATAATCAGAGGTTGATCATAAAAAAAACTTGCTAAAAGTATTTCTATGTGACACCGATGATTGGACTTAAAATACAGAACATTCCAATTTTAAACCACAAGACCAAATTACACTTTGAAATATATCCATAATACATACAGCTTCATAATATTTCATAATTTTAGCACTTTTTACGGAGTTTTTAGTCCAGGGCCGCCCAAACTCAGTCCTGGAGGGCCAATGTCCTGCAGATTTTAGCTCCAACTTCAACACACCAGCACAGATGTTTCTAGAAAGCCTATTAAGAGATTGTTTAGCTAGCCCTGGTGTGTCTGATTGGGGTTGAAACTAAACTTTGCAGGACACTGACTCTCCAGGACTGAGTTTGGGCAAGCCTGCTTTAGTCAAATAAATGCAGCCTTAATGAGCAAGAGAACATTATAAGAATCCTACTGAATGGTAGCATACAATATATTGTATAAGAGAGAGAGAATTTTGAGTTTGTTGCTATATCAACTTCTATGGCTATGTCATAGCAAAAAACAAAACAGATTACGTTTACCACAATTTATAAATAACACTTTTCTGTAATAAAAAAAATAATCAAAAAATTGTAGGTCATCAACAGCAATAAACACAAAAGATAAAAATAAATAAATGGTATTAATGATAATATATAAGATACAAATCTAAAACTGTTTTTTAAGGTTTACTTTTGATAAAAAATTTACAATTTTAGAAGGATTCACATTTTAAAATATTTCATTTAAAGTCTCTCCAGATAAAAATAGTTGTCTGATAACATTAATAATAGGGCACTCCAGAAGAATATGTTTAACAGTTTGGTTTCTATTGCAATCTAGACATTTTGGGGGTTCTTCTCCTTTCATGTGTGTCTCGTGTGTTCAATACGGCATCTTGTGTAAACAATCTCACAATGTCTTGAGTTAAAAAATAAAAATTGTATTTTGTTCCAATTTCAGGCTGGATTTTGAAACGTTTAGAGCACTGATGATATTCTGCATGCCATTTGATAAAAATTTAACTTTTTATTAGTGTTTTTAAATCTGGGATGGGTTTTTGCACCTTTCCAGTTAGGGCTGTTTTAGCAGCTTTGTCGGCTTGTTCATTTCCAAGGAGTCCAACATGTTCAGGGATCCAGTAGAAAACTACATGATAAACTTTCTCTTTAGTTTATTCACTTTGACAAAATATTCAATAACAATGGGATTCTCCAATTTAAAAGACTTTACCGATTGTAGACTTTGGTTCAGAAAAAAAATCATAAAATAGTGTTCTTCAGCATTTTCAATGTGTTCCAGAGCCAAAAGTAGAGCTTTTGCTTCAGCTGTAAAAATTGAGCTTTAATCTGGAATATGAATGTCGTAGTGTAATTGACCCATTACTACTGCTGCAGAAACATAACTGTCCTGTTTTGATCCATCTGTGTATATAGATTTATGAGTAGGATACAAATTCCTTATGTCAGCAACTTCTTGTTGATATTTATGTGGAGAAGTCAGATCCATATTTACATGCAACTTGTTTAACCTCCATGATGAGACCGGGCAAACAAGAGTCTTGTGGATTACTGTATAACATCTAGAATTATCAGTTATATTAAGATGTTTATTGACTGACCTTGGCATATATACATGTGTCAGACAGGTTCCACGCCTTGCATTTTATGTCACATCTTGGACACATGATGATGTCAGAGTCACATACTTCATGACTGTAACGGCATCACAAATGAGATTTAATAGTGTAAATTAAAAACAAATTAGTCTGCAATCTGCAACAGATCAGTCATTCCTAGTTTTCTATACTTCAATACTATAAATATACTCACATGAGCGGGCTGGTGTTGAAGAAGGCAAGACCGTACAAGAACACAACTATACCAATTACAGCGGCCGGGACGAGCATTCGAGTGTACCAGCCGAGCCACAGGTAATACAGTGCCACTTTCTCCCCAAAATAGTCCCTGAAAAAGACATATGGAAACATAAATAAATAAGCAAAAAAAGATATAACAAAATAAAACCAGGGAGAACTTACTTTACATCAGTAACAGGCTGTTGAAAAAGCCTCAAAACTGAATACCAGCTTGCCCACTTCTTCTTTAGCTTTTTCTGCTCTTTTTTCTGACAAGAGAAATCAATGAAATTCAGCACGACCCAGAGATTGATTGTCTTTGGCTACTGATGAATAAGCAATGACAATAAGGTATTTTACCTCATGCAGACAGAACATGGTCTCGAAAGCACCTTGACGCAGCAGATCTTGAAGACCCTCTTGAAGTGCAAAAAAAAGTGAAGAGAGACATTGATGCTTATGTCAGTTAGGACAATCCTTTCAGAAATATTTATTTTTAAAAAATTTACATGAATATACAGTTGAAGTCAGAATTATTAGGCCCTTTGAATTTTATTTCTTTTAAAAAATATTTTCAAAAACAGAGCAAGGAAATTTTCACAAATCATAATTTTTACAATAACTTGCCTAATTACCCTAACCTGTCTAGTTAAGTCTTTAAATGTCACTTTAAGCTGTATAGAAGTGTCTTAAAATTTTTCTAGTAAAATATTATTTACTGTCATCATGGCAAAGACAAAATAAATCAGTTATTAGAAATGAGTAATTAAAACTATTATGTTCAGATATGTGTTGACAAATCTTCTCCCGTTAAACTGAAATCGGGCTACAAATTAATAAGGGGGCTAATAATTCAGACTTTAACTGTATCTCTGTGTTTAATTCTGAACTTTTAAAAAAAAAAGCTTAGGTAAATTTAATGCAGTTTCATATTAAACATTTTATAATTAGCATTTTCTAGACAAGTTAACTGGCAAGATTTGCAGTCTGTAAAACATTTAAACTGGGATAAATTCAAACTGATAAGAAAACTACAGTAAAATGTAAGTGTTTTCATTAGGAATGTGCCAATGCATGACACGGTGGCTCAGTGGTTAGCACTGTCATCTCAGAGCAAGAAGGTCGCTGGTTCGAGTCCTGGCTGGGCCAACTGGAATTTCTGTGTAGAGTTTGCATGCACTCCCCGTGTTCATGTAGGTTTCTTGTTTCCTCCAGGTGCTCAGGTTTCCCCCACAAGTCCAAAGACATGCGCTATAAGTGAATTGAATGAACTAAATTGGCCATAGTATATGTGTGTGAATGTGAGTTTGTATGGATGTTTCCCAGAACTGGGTTGCAGCTGGAAAAGCATCCACTGCATAAAACGAATGAATAAAGGGACTAAGCCGAAGGAAAATGAACGCGTGAATGTTCCAATGCAGATTTGACCATGCCAATTTTTTACTGACAGGTGTCAGCTATATGAAGCACCATTCTTTATTTAACGACTGAAGTCACGCAGGAGTCATAATTGGAGAGAATAAATAAATAAAATAAATGGAGAGGACATTTTCTGACAGCAATTTGATCTGTAGAAATATGAAAATACTCTAACAACAAATGTAATGCAAGCAGTGCAAGCATTTCCGAGGTAACTCATTTTAAACAGTAATAACAATTCAGATTATTATATTTTGTACTGTGTTTTTGATCAGCTAAATTCAGCTTTAATGCATATAATTATAGTTTTAAAAACTTTATTGATTTTAATATTTATTTTTTGCTTTTAATGTGATAAAGCATTGAGAAATAAAGTTGGAGCAAGGGGGTGTGGGGTGGGGGTGTTTATTGTGAAAGCTCCACAAGCTGAGACTCCTCTGAGACTGCCTGAAGCGCAATGGCTCTAGATGTAACCGCTATCTCCACTAGGTCAGTGGTTCCAAACAGGGGGGTCCCGGAAAACAAGGGGGCTCCAGCGAGCTCTGTGAGTTGTGTCATTTTTACACATTTTTTTAGCAGTTAATTTTATCTTCTGGCTGACCAAATAAAAAATTGACAAATTTGTAATTCGTCCTTCACAAAAACAACCAAGTCTCATTGATTCGCCTTCAGCAGCTAATGGTAATTACCCCAAACATACTGGACCCAAGCGAGGAAACTCCAAACATTTGGGGTAACAGTGCTAGCAATACTAGAAACTTGCAAGGCAGGAAAGACCAAGATAGTTACCTGAACTATAATTTTATACCTTTTTCTCGAGGCAACGAGTCCTTGACCCAGCCACATGCATTTTTTGTCATTCTTACTGCAAACTTATATGTGGACAGGGGCCTTACAATATTTTCCAGGGGAAAAGGGGGTCTTGGGCAAAAAAAAGGTAAGTAACCACAGCACTAGGTTATCTGCACCAAATTTCTAAAAAAAAAACTTTCAATTTCTTACTGACAGCAGACTTTTGAATAGTACATTTTTAGTTTCAGGTAGAAGAAAAGAGTGATAACAATGTGAAGAAAGATGAAGTGAAAAAGAAAGTGACAGGTACCTCCTGATCCTATGAACGTATTGTTTAAGACAAAGTGAACAATCCTGATTCTGTAAAACAAAAGGAATGTTTGTGGTAAGGGATTTCATCTATAGCAGATTGTAAAAGCATTTGAATCAGAGGGAAATAGGGTACCGGGTGCAGAAGGAGACAGATGATTCACGGCTTTCCTCTGCACTCCAGTTACAGCCATCGGACACCTTCAGCAGGTACTTGTACTTTGTAAAAATCTCCTCAGGTGCGCGGACACCGAAAAACAACTTTCCGTCATTTTCAACTCTCTGTTGAGCAATAATAAAACTGTTGAGGAAGATCATTAAAAATAAATGAAAAACACAAACAAGTGGCGGTGACATAACATACAGTCACTCTAATGTTCTTCCGCTTCAGTTCCAGGATAAAGGCATCCTGCTTCTTGAAGAGTTGATCCTCCATGTCCTCCACTTTATTAGCCACCAGGACATAGTCATATAATCGAGGAACATAGGTGTTATGCTGAATGACACAAAAGCAGAAACAAAAGAAATTGATTGTTTTTTTTAAATGATTGATCAGATGTTTGGCTGTATTACTGCTGGCTCTCTTCCTTTCAGTGTTTGTGACTATCGTCTGTTTATTTCAGGAGATTTAGGTCATGCAGGGGCAATGCTGATGTGTGACATTATGACCATATTGTGGTTAGATATAACATCATCATGTGCTTTGCTTGTGAAATTAGCATGTGCTTGTGTGGAAATGTGACTGTGGTATTTAATTCAGTTGGTCAGCAAATGCACAGATGTCTGGGCTGTTTTCTTACTTGTGTTGGAAGCAAAGGCTCATTTCCATTGTCCACCTCCTGCAGAGGAACGCCCTCCTGAAATACATAGGAAAGGCAGAAAAAATCAAATTACTGAACAAAAGTTTAATGGCCAGGCCAATGCAAACTTTCTGAATGCAAAGTACGTATATTGTAAATAAATAAATACAAATTTTCAATGGCAATTTCTGTGTTAGGGAATGAACATTTTTAGGATTTTATCCTATAAGGATGGTTCTTCCTATGAACAATCCTACAATTACTAACAATATTTTATTGAGTGTGCTTATAACTGCCGGTTCAGGTCTGTCACAGATAAATCAATATTTATGGCTGATTTATTTAGAAACAAATGAAGTTAGAGGCTGCATTAAACCAACTCTGCTACCTAATTTGAATAAGTAATCAGATTTTTAAAAAGCATTTTCAAAATAGTATAATGTGTTTAGTATGAGTGCAATCAACAATTTGTCAACCATGCAGCCAATGTTAGTATAATCAAATAATTTAACCATTGGCTTATTTGTTTTGTTCAAACACAAGTTCATTCAGAATTACACACTACAATCAGTGTTGCTCCGAGAAAGACAAATACTAAATACTGACTACTTTTTGAAACGGATAGAAAAGACATGTCTAAAGTTTAACATGTACTACTATTATCAATTTTGTTTGTTGAACTGTTGTATAAAATCAATATTATATTTGCGACTGCACTCACCTCACACTAAACTGATATTCAGTTGACACCTTTTTAATCTTTCCATTAGACAAAACGTTCTTTGTTCTGTATAATAAAAGGTTTATTCGGATTAAACAAATGTGTTTCTGCACTAAAGGAAAAAAATGGCTCTTTGGGAATTAAAAATGGCACTAATGCAAAAAGACACCATTCAAAATGTAAGTGCATTGGTTAATTCAATCAGCCAGAACCGCAATTCTCCATCTACTGTCAATGCCACTGATATATTATAGACATCATAAGAAAATTATCCCAGTATCACCATTTACTGACAGAGGGAAACGGCCATTATGCAAAATTAGTTTCTGAAGCCAAAGCTTATCTTAATGAAAACGCAAATTTGAACTTGTCTTCATGCAAGATACTACAGTGACAGCTGGCTACTGTGGCGCTTAACACTTAATGCCTAACCTGCTTTATAAAAAAAACAACTGACCATATGCTGTATCCAGTGTGAACCAAAAGATTTTATACAATTAAGATACAACTGCCATTGTTCAGCTGATTTAATTTATCTTTGTACTTTATTCTAATTGAATGAAACAAAAAAAAGCCTTTTCACTCTCTTCTTCACAAACTCTACAATAATAAAATATATAGTGGTGATGAATGTTCACAATGTTGCTATCGTGAGCACTTCAATAAATTAGTGATTTATTCTGTCTCTGAACTGCATATTATTTTCAAAGCATACTTTAACTTCATATTCTATCCGTAGGAGCAAATGTTTGACAGTGCATGTGTGTGACGTTTAATGTAGCTTGTTAAACAAGAGAATGTTTTAAAGTGCAACTGTGTATCTGGGTTATCTCTAACACAATGTTTTGGGTAATGATATGTACTTAATATCAGGCAGTTTGTAAAATGTTTCGATTTGAAAACTCACCAAGAGGACGAATAAAAATATTACTAAAGATATTACACTGCTCCATGCACAACCACATCAGTAACTTGATCACTGACAACCCTCAGAAATGCATGAAACCATGTGTTCTTTTAGAAGAATCTTGACAAATAATAGACAATATTTTAAAAGATCAGAATATGTGCGACCACAAAACCAGTCATAAATGCCTTCTCAATATTGAGATTTATACACAGAAACATGCATAAATGAGCTTTCCACTGATGTGTGTTATGTTAGGAAGGGACAATATTTCAAGAAGATACTGCTATATAAATATCTGGAATCAAAAATATTGAGAAGATTGTCCTTTAGGGTAGTTCTAACCAATTAAAAATACTAATCAAAATTTTACTTTTGCATAATATACACAGTAGGACATTTACAAAATAACTTGATGGATCACGATCTTTACTTAATATTTTAAAGATTTTTGCCATTTAAGAAAAATCAATCATTTTTAACCGTTACAATGCATTGTTGGCATTTCCCAAAATTATGCCCATAACATAGGATTTCAACTTAAGATGGGTTTTGTGGTCCAGGGTCACAACCGTTAGCATTTCAAGGCTTCCCTTTTCTACATTTCTCTTTCTCTTTGGAAGCAGCCACAACATTTGGTGTGACTGCAGGTCAAGACATGTTTATGGGACATCAAATCAAGTGCATGCTGAGCTTGTTTTGGTGCGTCAGAAAGAGAGAACCACGAAGAACCAAGATTGTGATCCCTCACCTCTGTCTTACATAATTATTAACTACAGCCACGGTCGTTAAAAAAATGCTCATGCTCTGGACTATGATGACAAAACAGCAGACTCATGACAAACAACCCGTTTAACAACAATTGAAATATTACTCATGCAGTTTTTCCCACATTTACGCAATGTGAACACGGTCGTGAACGTTGTACTCAACCAAAACAGTTGCATTAGTAATGAATCAAATACAGTGTCATCACTTAATAAAGTCTTTATATTATGCAAGATTACATTGATTAGTGAGTTACTCGAGTACAACACGAGATGTACATCAATATTTACAAGTGAATGCTCACAGCAAAGCCTCTCCTCTGAATTTTATACCTTAAATATCTAAACAGCAAGAATTTCAGGTAAGGTAAGCGTTCCTCAGAACAGTTCCTGTTTTTCTAAGAACTTTGATCTCGCCAAAATAACGCAGTTAAACCTGTCTGAAATAACTACGCTACACTCTCAGATATAAAAACTCAAAAGCTGCCACTGTGGAACAGAATAAAAAGGTATGCTTTTGTGTCCAACAGGTGGCATGCTAAGGCAAAAATGTTTGGAGAACAAAAAAAGTAAAGATATATTTAAAATGAATAATTAAATAATAATAATAATACATTATACAAATATCAAGTTATTTTCATTAAATAAACACATTGTTATTAATTATAAAATAATTAATAAAGATTTAATTAGTTATAAAACACCTTTTTTCAGATTTTTTCTGTTTTAGCAGGGCTTTTTTAAATGAGTACGTTTTTTGTTTTCTAGGTTTGAGATTTGCACCAGGTCGACAACACAGAAAATGCAAACGTAAAAATGTAAAATAAATAAATAAGCATCCCATTTATGTATTTCTTATCATTTAAATTGGACCTCATACTAGAAATCAGCCGCCTTTTACATTTTAGTACAGGGGTCTCTGGCATAAAGATGATTGTACATAGGAGTCCCAGGCATTTAAAAGATTGAAAGCCCCTGCCTTAGTTACTTTAGTATCGTTATTTCTAAAAGTGTACCATTGGTTTGACAATCAATTTAAATTAATAAAATTATTAGTTTATTTTATCTCATGACACTATAATTATTCACTTAGAAAACTTGCTTGAAAGAAATCTATACAAAGAATGTAGTTTAGATTTTGATAATTCTGGGATATATGTTGTAGCATAAATTGTCATTACAGTGATATTAGTAAAAGTCCAACAGTACCACTAGTAGCCCATTTCACTGGCTTATTTAGGTTACAGAACATTTTACATTAAAAACTACTCAACTGTGTGTTATACATTTAAATGGGTAAAGTATACTTTTAACTTGACTGAATTGCAGAGTTCAGATTAAATCAGCTGTAATTTAACTATTTGAAATACTAAATAAACAGGTTCTCTTTATAACAAAAGCCTCACGTTCCCTAAACACCTCCATAGACCATATCACAGGCCTTGTCTTTTGCACCTGTAAAACCTGCAAGATACACATGCACACACTTTTACACCACTCAAACACATCTATACACACTGTACCTCATCGTCTTTGAAGTACATCATGGTTAGTTCGCTTTGATTCCGGGAGATCAGCGTCAGTGTCTCTTCTCTTGTCCTCACATAGCCAGAGTCCAGCTCTAACTAACATGAGAAATTAGAACTGAATGTAAACCGAACGAAATCATTCGACACTTCCGCATATCCCAACTCAAAGTTGAGATTCGAGCGCGGGTGTGTGTGCTCGTGCCGTTTACCTTTACAGGTAAGAGCGCACGTCACCGCTTTGTGTCGAAGGGCGTGGCCAAGACTTCTAGTTTACCGATACACATTACGGACCAATACTGATAACATGAGATCGAAACTCAACTCGACAGTTCACCAACCTCTCTGAAAGAAGGTTACATCGCCTATAGGTCCACAGAAGACCAAATGTTAGACCAGAGGCGGATTTACCAAAAGGGGGATCCCAGGCAACTCCAACCAAGGGGGCCAAGTCCTGATCCACATTTTCTATATTTAAGTATTTTTTATTTATTTTGGTATTTTTTTATATATATTACGCAATCTTCTTTTCTCTGTTTTATCTTAATACAATCTTTAAATTTTAAATTATTAGTTTTCTTAAAATGAATTTACAATAAAAATAGTAAATATATAAAAAATATTAAATTTATAACAAATATATATAAATAATAAATATATAAAATAGTAAATATATATGTAAATACTGTATATTTTTATAAATTTGACTGCTGGACTGCTCCATGATTGGGGGTTTGTGGATATTTTTTGTTAATATATTACATTATTCATTAATTTTCTTTTTGGATTACGATGATTTCTGATCATTGTATTTTTTAAAGACTAATACAGTGGAGAGTGTAATGATACACTGCTTTTATTAATCTGGGGTCGTCACAGCAGAATGAACCACCAACTTATCTAGCATATATTTTTATGCAGCGGATGCCCTTCCAGCTGCAACCCATCACTGGGAAATACACTACAATATTATAATAATATTATATTTTAGTGTATATTAAATATTTATGTAAAAAAATCTCTCACTATACAAAATATGATAGAAAACGATGTTATATAGGCTATAATTTACAGGTATAATTTATACTTCTAGATATTTTTTTGGGGGCCCCCAGATTTCATGGGGCTCTAACCTTACTTATAGATTTAATCAGCCCATGTGTCAGGCTAGAAACCGTAAGGTGTCATGTTTTATATTATTTAAACTTGAACTGATAAAGATTTCTGTAACATCATCAGTCCTGATAACTAGCAAGAAATCATTCAATTAAATTATTTTAACAGGTTACATGACAGTTTGTTTATATAATGCCAAAAATACTATTTCAACACATCAAAGGCTATGAAGACTTATATTTTAAAAAATATAATCAAATCGATGGTGAAATCATCGATTTGCATGCATAATTATAAGTGGCACATATCTCTCTCACACACATTTACATATATATATATATATATATATATATATATATATATATATATATATATATATATATATATATATATATACGTTGCTATCACTCACTATGAATTTGGCTTGATTCCCTGATTTATCAGAGGTCACCACCACAGCAGAATAAACTGCCACTTACTCTGGCATAGGTTTTATGCAGCGGATGCCCTTGTAGCTGCAACCCAGCACTGAGAGTACACTAACCCATGAACCCCCAGAAATGGGCAGCATGTTTTCACACAGCAGATGCCCTTTTAGCTGCAACCCAACACTGGGATACACCCATCCACTTGCATTCACACAAATCTAAATCTGAGGATGTGGCATAAATAATTTAACTAAAACACAAGTGCTCTAATACACAGAGAAAGACTGTGGAGGTTGTACAATGTGTCCTTATGGAAGTAAATGATATCAGTATCTATGGTACCTTCTCTTGCCCACCAGAAATAGTATTGACTTCCTAATTTGCATTATTCATCACCAATCACCATGCAAAACATTGAGCTTCACATTTTCGCTGCATAAAGACGAAGCACACTTGTTTAATGGGGTCTGAAAGTCAAATTTATTCATGAAAAGCATCCATAAAAACTTGACAGTATACCTCATAATAATCCTATACACACTAAAACACGCTTAGACAGGTTATCAGTCTACAGATATGTGGCCTATTTACTTAAATAGCCTGCACAGCAAGAGCTTCTCATGGCCAAAGCCAAGATAATGGATAATCAAACAACTTTATACAAAACAATGATAAGTTTTAGGTACACAGACATTAAAACCTTAGTTTAAAGTATTTAAGCTCAAAGTGCTCACTCTTTGTCACCATCATTATCATCAGGTGTTTTACGAAAGTTTTTGCGATTCACTCTCTTACTACTGGTAAAGACAGCACTGGGTGCCACCGTGTCATCTTCCTCTTTCGTAACTCCCCACTTCCTTTTTTTCTCTTTATTCGGCCATGAGCTGCTCTGTTGAAGAGCCTCTCCTTCATCAGCCTCAACTCTGTCATCCAAGTGTTGAAGTCCAACTTCTTCCTTCTTAGCGTGATCAGCTTTGCTCCCACTTTGATCTTTGCTCTTGGGTTTAGCGAACACAATCTTATTCTCATTGCTGCTGCCATGATCCTGGTTGAAAGCTGGAGTAAAAGTCTCAAGCGCAGCTTTCTGGGACCTCTTGCTATCCTGAAGCTCTCGTATGTACTCATGAGCAACCTGACTATTCTTTTTATCACTGGTTTCATCGATGTCTTCAAGACTGTAGTGTGTCCAACGCTCAGGGTGTGCGAGGTAGTCTGGGAGTTTTTTACCTGGAGGTTGTTTCTTGGTAAGCTCTTGGCCGACACCACACTTGTTTTGCACTGCATGTGGGGGTGAAGGTGGTGCAGGACGGGCAAATGTGCCATCAAGGATATTATCTTCACCTAGATCTTTAGAGGTGAGCTTTGCAGCACTATCCAGCTGTGCAAAGATGTCCCTGCTGCGATCACAGAAACTAGAGCTCCCGCCTGTCAGTCTGAAGGATGGATTCTCTTGAAGAACTGACTGGACCGGCTGCCGAGTCTCGCCTTCCTCCTCTGAGGACGAGGATAAGTCCTCAATTTTTCTACCGAAACTCTCTAAGGGCTCATCAGAGTCAGAGTCGCTCAAGGAGAGATCATCAGGAAGTTCAACAGTGTCTCTGTTAGACAGACTGTTGGGGGCGTCGTTGCCTTTGCGCTTTCGGTCACTCATTGTGCTGGATATTTATACTGAGATACTGAATGAAGGATCTAAAGAAGAAACACATTAAGAAGTCTTTGAATAAGTAATGCACTAAACTGCAATTTCCTGAAAGTTCCTTCAAAGGCTACCAAATAAAGTTAGTGTGCAATTAAATGCATGTTCTTGATTATATACCCATTTTTTGAGAAACCAACATGAACCATAGAGAAAAAAGCAATGAGTAATCACACTCACCAAAATGTTCTTGAGACACCTGTTGGAACCTGAAATAGAAACCGTAGTTAGACAACTACTGATCATAACTCACCTTGCTTAACTCACACATTGGGGAGATACTTTCACATTCAGTAAAATAATATTTTTACAGATCTTATGCGTTTTGCGTTTGTCACATGGTTTACAATGGTGCTAATCTGAAGAATGCATCAAGAACAATGCTACGGTGCATACTGTATCTTACTGGGCTTGAAGACTCACAGGTAATGCGAGCTGGTCAGTTCTGAGTAAGGAGTATTGGTGAAAGTTGTGGCCATAGCGTTTAGTCTCGATTCTGTCCTCTTCTTCCTATCAAAGTTAGGATAAAAACAATATTTATACATCTGCATACGGAGTTAAAAATGTTCGCATGGGTTCATGCAATGCATTTTTAAAATAATTTGCGAGAATGAAACGTTAATGAACCGAAAACTTAACGCAGCTAGCATGAAGCTACATGCTAAAGCAACTATGACGTATATCTGCGATGATAAACTAGACTAATCAAATGACTCAAAATACCATAAGATATTACAAGTTACAAGTTGCGATAACACGCTGATTAAATAGCATTCACTATTTTAAGGTTACCTATAAATTTGACTCGTATCTGATTCTCCACATTACCAGTAGCGTACCTTTAGCTGCAGCAAGTGCGCACGCTCCCTGAAGAGATGCTTGGTGGGTAATGTAGTTTACCTGGGAGAAAGTGTCGGTCACGTCGGTTTCATTCACCGCAACAACCAGAGTGTAAATATAAACAATAGGTCGAAAGTTGGGAATCACTGAGAGTTACAATTAATTTTTTATTTTAAAAGTTGTTTTCAGTGTCACGTGATCCTCCAGAAATCCTGATTTGGTGCTCAAAAACATTTCTAGTTAGAAATCTTAAAAATAACTCATATTTTACTTGTATGGTTTGTTATCAATAACCCTTGTGCACTACTCAAATTGACTCCCCTTTCGTTATGGTCGGGATAAATGCATCAGATAAGCCTGAATGTTTTTGTATTTATTTATTTATTTATTTATTTATTTTATTTTATTTTTTGCATAAATCTTTTAATCAACCCCAGTCCTGATCAAAACTACTAAATTGTTTAAAAAATTACAGGATTTTAATTTTTTAATTGCCAAACTCACAAATTGTGTCACTGATTTGGTGAAAAACACACAAATATTACGCATAAATATTTATTTTCAATATAAAAAGTAATCGTGGACTGGATTTTTTTTAACCTTTTGGCACAGTCTTGGACGTGTGAACGATTAGTAGCAACATTGGCTCTGATGCATTTTTAGATTTAACCTTTTTCTCCCTAATTTACTGTTGGCTGTTTTGCCCCACTGAATTCCATTAGCTCTGAGAGCTGAGATGCATAGTTTGATTTTCTCAGACACATCAAGGTAAGCGCGCAAAGGTCACTCTCACTGTCTCACACAGATACACACACTTTAATTTGCTGTTTTACTTTTTATAAAATACAGAAACTAACCATTCTTTGCACAGGCCTAAAGGGTTAATGGTGCCAACTGATGATCAACAGTAAAAATGACAAATTTGACCTCTTCCCAACAGAGAAAAACCACCAACAATTAAAAATGCATAATTATGGTGTCGGGACTTTTTAATAAAAATGTGGTTATTATAGAAGTCAATGGGGCACCAACATGAATTAGTGAGAAAAAAAATCGAAACCAGTGCACCAAAGGCAATGTTGTTTCACACATCTAAGACTTTGATAAAAGGTTAAAAAAATCCAGTCCACAATTACTTTTTATTTTGAAAATACGCAATTTTGTGTGTGTGTTTTCCCACCAATTCAGTGACGTCATTTATGAATTCGACAATTAAAGAGTTAAAATCCTGTAATTTTCTAAGAAATTTTGAGGTTTTGATCAAGACTGAGAGTAATTAACAGATTTATGTAAAAAAAAAAAAAAATGAAAATAAATGAATGAACATTTATCTGATGGATTTTGCCGCAGTTAAATCCAGTGGATGTTTTATTCCTGAACATAAAGGGTAGTAAATTTTCCTAGAGTGTATTGCGTTTTTATTTTTTTATTTATTTATTTTTTTATTTATTTATTGTTATTTTTTAGCATTTTCTCAAAATAAGATATGACCAAAAACATTCTACTATAGCTAAAACAGAACACAAGTTAAAAATATTAAAAATTATTTCCCGTGAATAGTTAATTGTGCACAGCGACTGATATGTAAAATCGTCAGAAATATCCTGTGAATTGATAATTATTTCGTTCCCTGGGTTTTCTGTTTACCCTGCCCGCTTCCCATGCTCCAAAATCTCTGGCTTTTAAGTTCACTTCACAGCATGTTATGGAAGATTGGGACACACCCAACAGCTTGCTGTCAATTCAAAGACCAGCAGAGGGAGCAAATGCTCTAAGACGGAAACACACGTGCTTTTTCTGACAGTGTGCTTTCATTCAAAATTAATTGAAGTAATGGATATGTAGGCGTGTAGTAAGATGCTCAATTTCTTAATAGAGAACTCCTTTGCAGGACAAAAACAATCAAAAGTAGGGCGTACTTTCGCAGGTTGATCTTGAATTCATCCACTTTTCTATATTGTGTAGTACAGTGGAGTCGCATAGACATAATTAATGTAGAGCATGACATTCGAACCATATCATATTTTTGACTAATGTGCTGCCAGTATGCCGACGGTAAGTCACGCCCCTTTAAGACATCATCACCACCATCATCACCATCTCCTCCTCAGCTCGCCGCCGCTGCCTGCTCTAGTAATAGATGTTATGGAGAAGAAAGCGAACGATGGATTCACACTTTAGCCATTGCATTCTCCTTTGTGACATCTTGAAGACTGAAATCGGAAATCCTCATTTGGCACATTAATCATCCCACTAAAGGGAGAACTGAGCCGACTGACTGATTTTTTTCTCTTTGTCCCGTGGGAGAAAAGGAACGCACGAACTTACTGTAAAATGAAGAGGATAACGGGCAAGACGAAAGAAGCCACTCTTATAGAAATGACCAGCGCGCTGGATTCTCAGATTGAAGGTAAGGAGAATTGACTCTTATGTAAAGCATCTGCTCAAAATCACAATAATGAGAAGCTCAGCCGACGGAGAGTTGAGCGTAAACGGAGGAATGAATATGTAACCACAACAGACAACCGTAGGTTACACATTTCCTGACAGGATCACTTCAAAGATAAATGAAAGAGAGAAAGTAATAGAAAAAATATGATAAAACGGTTACAAGTTTGCTAGCTCAGCTCACCTACACAGAAAAAACCCGCATATTCAAATAAGTAGTGCTAAACTGTGATGAAAAAAATCGGGGAAGTTCCTAAAATATCAGACATGGAAAAGTTGCGGTCTACACCCAGAGACTGTTACCTTGCGCGGTACAGTAGCCTATTCAGCATTACTAAAGCTATTTGTTATCATTCCTAAAACACACACACACACACACACACAAAAGCTTCAAAGTGACCATTTGAAGACTTTAAATGAGAACGGGAATTGCATTTTTGTTCGAGTTGTATTTTTAGTGGTACATGGCCACTTTAATTAGGTTTTACGGCCACATGGTTTGGCTGAAGCCCCAGTTTATCTCGCGAATCTAACAGTCAACACATGTTGAATCGGTTAAATGTCTGATGTCGTTGAGTCATTCAACGTTTATTCAATTCTACTGCAAACCAGACATTTTTAGACTAGAAAACATCAGGCTCCTCCTCTAGGAATGTGCTTTTAGGAAATAAAGTATAGTAGCCTTGTGCCAGTGTTCACTTTTAAAAATAAAGATTGCTTAATTGCAATGTTCAATTGAAGAACCTTTTCATTTTAAACGACAAATATTCTTTACAGTGAATACTTTTCATTAAGAGGATCTTTAGGGGAACCAATGGCGTTTCTGTGGCATCACTGTGAAAAATTGAGGTGAAGTTGGTTATATATTCACATATTCTAACTTTCTCTGTAATAATACAATTCAGAAAAGTATTCTTTACAAGTTCCTAATAGTGAAATCATATTAGCAACGAACAGCTATCAAAGCACAGTGAATTAGACAGTGCTAATGTTGCTTTGACGTCATATTTACATGTGAGTTCAGTCTGAAAAAGCACCATGGTAAACATGGGAGCTTGTCACAAGTTGTTACTGAATGAATGTGCAAATATAAAACCAACTTTACCTTAATCTGTGAAAACCCCTTTTGGTTCTCACCTTTATTTAAAAAAAGTAACATTTGAAGTCTGTTCAATTGAGTTTTGTTTGGCGGTCATTCAGTGCCATTATAAATGGGGCATTTTTAGGGCATGTTGACGCTTAGCTCTGGATTGGTCTAGATTTATTCTCTCTTTTTTCTTTTCCTTTTTTTTTTTAAAGAAAATGTCACCAAAGGTGACAGAGAGAGCTTAACATGTTGCAATTCAAGAAAACATGCAATATGCACAGCTAGTGTTTTTTCAGCAAATGATGAACTTCAGGTGTGAGCTTTATGTCACTATTTGGTGGTAGGTTCCTTTCACAGCATTGATGTTGTAAATTAATTCAAATATAATCAGTTAAACAGATTTAAGCATCCATTTGGTTGTTAAAGGATAAAAGAGACGAAAGACCATTTAAACACAGGCAAAGTTATTAGTGGCAGGTTATCACAAAAACTCAATTGAAAATACTGGGATAAAATTAATTTCCATATTTTAAAGACATGGTTAGCTTTTGATTAGGTCTTATACCCACATTATATCATATCGTAGTTTTCTTTAATTGCAGCTTGTTAAGCTCTTTCGGCTACCGTAGTAGACACCACCGGGCTTGATTAGCATTCAGAAGTTGATTTTCGTGAATAATTAAGCAACATATTTGATTTTCAGCGCAATAATGGTGTGAATTTTGTTATTTTTATAGCTTTTATGTTTGTCTAAACCAGCCTTTAAGTGATCTGTTTTTTTGGTGGTCATCATGCTTTAAACGGCTGCATTCACACTTATTCAGTCCTTCCAGGGTTTTGCAGGTCCAATGGTTCTTTACAAGACTTTTTTGTATTTTTACAGCAAAACACTAGAATTAAGTCTTGAAAAAAGCTGTCACAAAATCAGAAATTTTAGGCTGCGAATATAAAAAAAAACTGTCCATGCAAAATAATGGAGGAACTATTTATTTAAATAAACCATACTAAGCAGAGCAAACAACTTTGTTTTAACTGAACCAATTGTGAACACACCCTTAGACAAGAAAATATTACACTCCTTCTTAAACAAATGTAATTTCAAAATGAAATGGAGGAAAATAGTCTTTGTGCAGTATTAAATAGTCAATCATAAATGATTTATTGTTGCAGTGTTGCATCAGACAAAGAGCAAAATCATTAGGATGTACTATAGAGGACCTGTTTTGACTTGGGGCCTGGGAAAACATGAATGTTTTGTCCCTGTAAATATGGTATTATCTGAACAGAATATCCTGCGCTGGTGTTTTATCTCAGGGATATGACAGATGTGTCGTCCAGCTGAGTAGTTTGATCCTACTCGATATTACTCAACTTGTTTTTAATAATCTAAAATGAATTACCGAGCTGAGCAGAGATGAAATGAATCAGTACATGGCTTGGTGTTTGGCTCCTGTCGCCCTGAGGCTCTTTGTTGCATGGGTTGAGTGATGGTTGTTTAAGCATTAAGGCCAGAGGGAGACTTGTATTAAGTGTGATGCATGTAGGTGTATGTTTATGTCCAGGACTTCACATAGGTGTGTGGGTTTGTATGCAGATGTATATTATCATTATTATTCGCTCTTCTTCTGACTAATGGCATGGTTTGGCTGAACATGTGCTTTGTTGTAGGAATGGTTGAGAGAAAAGAGAAAGAGTAGAATATAAAGAAAGTGACTGGTTGGAAATGGTTTATATGATGTTTCAAGGGGAACCCCAGCTTAATCTCTCCTTGCTTTGCCTCTCACTCGCTATTTAATCTGTGTACTGATCATGGGTGATTCACTGGATAGTAATTTGATTATGCTTCTCCACCAGGACTGTGGCACTGACATGGCTCACAATGTTATGTTAGGGATTTATCGTGACTCATAATTTTACAGTGTGAGGATATCTTGCACTGAATACACAATTGCTTTAAACTGAAATGTGTTGAAAGCCAAAGTTAATTATTTTATATGACAACTTTTAGTATGGCCAAATACTCCATGCACACTATAAGATTTATGAGTTTAATATATGTTTGATTAATATGTGTTACTGTAGTTCACAGCAAGATAAAGAAGTGCAGCGGAGCTGGAGAGAATACATTGCTTTAGCATCTCTAAAACAGCTGTTCTCTTTGTTCTAGAGAATCAATTCAGTGATTTGCTACAACTAATGGCAAGCTCATCATACATGCATATCACAATGTCCACATTGTGCAGTATTTCATATTAGCTTTAAAGCATCCTGTTGCTGCAGTAATTGAAGCATGGTGATATATTGCTTCATTTCATCAGGATCATTACTGCAGCAATAGCAATGTTGTATATCATGACCATGCATCAGTATAATTGGGTTTAGTTTTAGACGGCCTGTTTTAAAAGGTGTTTTTGCAGTCCATAGGTACATTAAAATACATAAATCTAGAATATTTTCTTCAAGAGTTGAATTAGATTTAAATCTTTCAATATGCATTTGTAGGAGTTTCTCTTTCAGACAACATTTATGGAAGGAGATAAGGCATGTCTTTTTAGTAAAGATGGACGATCCCTTGCAAGTGTTCAAACAGAAGTTGCTTGACTTTTTGGGTTGATCTTTTTATTTTTTGAGTGAATAACACAATTAATACTACAAAATTTACTTTTTTTATTTTTCTTTAACTCCAATTAATCATGATGGGGAGAGGCAACCTACAATTCGAATACAACTCAGAGAGCTGCAATGCGATTATAAAACAATTATAGATGCGTCTTTTGTTTTACACAGGTGTCCTATTTTTTATCACCGTCTGAATATTGAGGTAAAGTATCTGAGCCATAATTTACTACCAAGATGTTTTATTAATCCCAAAAAAAGTGATTTGGTAAGTCAACAACAAGGTAACAAAGAACCAACAGTAAAAGAAATGTGCCTGTTGTGGCATATTGAACAAATCATTACCAACAACCTCCTGTTGTGTATTATAAGCAAGATAATTTTTAACACTCTTACTAAATTTACTTTATTACATTATTAAGCCTTTTAATGTATATGCTAACACCAGTCATCCTTGGTTGGTCTCTGGAGTAGGGCTGGGCGATATTGCAAAAAAAAAAAATTTTTTAGCAATCTATTTAGATGTGTTTTTTAACCACTTTAATTTACCAACATTACTAAGGCAAATTGTTTTAATTGTCAAAGACAAAACATATTTAAAGTAAAATATCTGATCTCTTAATAATAATATTAACATAAGCATTAAAGAGACTCTTACACTTGATAAATAAAATGTTACAATGGTAAATTGCAAATGCTAAACAATCAAAGTAAACTTTAAGGTGTGAATAATATGGATACAGTAAACCTCATTTTCACGTGTGCTGTTTTTGTGACCTGAAGTGACAAGAGCGAGTGTGTGGTTTCCCTTAATTTGCGCTCACGTTTTCCTGCCGTCTTTGCTACCATCAACTGTTCTCTCAGAGGATGACAAGTGGACAAACCATTGCTGCAGCTCTGATACAAATTTATGGAGAAAAGTCAAAAGCATTGCAGTGTTTGGAAGAGTTTGGCGCTGCGCTCTTCACCGATGAGTGACACTGATAAGCGGCAGGCGGCAACGGTGATCACAGCTGATCCATGATAGACACGGTGGAGAAAACTTTGCAACTTTGTGTCTGTGTATACAGAAGTATCTAAAACAGCCGAGAGGAGAGGAAAAGTCACGCCAGCTGGTCAAATGGGCCCACATTGAGTGTGTGTGTGTGAGAGAGAGAGAAAGAGAGGAATGGAGTACTTTCATTCTCTTAACTGCAGTGAAATAGGGGCTTCTGCTGTTTGCTAAAAGATTGATCCAGCAAACACACAGTGAAATTTTA